TATTGGGGGAGGGGGCCTGGTGGGGGTCTCAGCTAATTAAATAAAAGTTAATCCCATTAATTCAATTTGGGACTGGCCTGAGAGAGAGGGGGCCCAGAAGAAATGCTAGGGGGCCAGGCCCCACAGGCCCCGCGGTAGCTATGGGCCTGAGACGGCTGCCGTTTTTTGGGAAAGGAGCGGGCTCTGGGGGTGCCTGGCCTGAGGAGAGGCAGAGGGAGGCGGCTGCGTCTGGCGCTGGCCCGCAGCTCCTTCCTTATCTCACCCCCCATCAGCCATTTCCTCCCGAGAGAGACGCTATTTAATTAAGAGCAAGGGCAGAGGGAGGGGTGATGCCGGCAGGAATGTGAGGCCTGGAGGCAGGGCGACAGGCACGGAGGCACCTGGAGAGCAGGTTAAAGATTTACCGCCCAAGGTCACTGGGTGCTTGAGTGGGAGGCCAAGGAGGCACATACATCCCACAAAGGCTTTCCCAGGAGGGGAAGCTCGTGTGGAGAGCAAAGCACAAGCAGAGGCCGAGCTCACCGGAACCCCATTTACTCTCATGTAGTAAATCACTAAACAGCATGATAAAAGGTAGAGACATCACCCTGCCAACAAAAGTCCGCATGGTCAAAGCAATGGTATTCCCAGTAGTCATGTATAGCTGCGAGAGTTGGACTATAAGGAAGGCCGAGCGCCGAAGAATAGATTCTTTTGAACTATGGTGCTGGAGAAGACTCTTGAGAGTCCCTTGGACTGCAAGGAGATCCAATCAGTCCATCCTAAAAGAAATCAACCCTGACTGTTCCCTGGAAGGCCAGATAATGAAACTGAAGCTCAAATACTTTGGCCACCCAATGAGAAGGGAGCACTCGCTGGAGGAGAAGACCCTGATGCTGGGAAAGATTGAAGACGGGGACGGGAAAGGATGAGATGGTTAGACAGTGTCATCGATGCAACGAACATGAAATTGAGCCAACTTCAGAGGACGGCGGAAGACCAGGAGGCCTGGCGTGATCTGGTCCATGGGGTCACGAAGAGTTGGACTCGACTGTGCGACTGAACAACAACAAAGTAAATCACTTTGGAGCTTAGGAAACAATGGTATGCCGATGTCTTATGTCAACATAAAATATGTGTTTCCAGTGATTTCAATAACTGGGTACTCTGCAATTGACCCCCTGAAATGTGGGGTTGAATGTAATTTTTAGCACAAAATGGTTTGCAGTGTGTGTGTGTGCTCGAAGTGTTTAAGTGTCAGGGGAAATAGTGATGAGAAAATGGCACGCTGTATTTAAGGAAAGCCCCTCCCCAAACATGGCCTCCCTCGGGCTCCACCCCCAAAACCTCCAGCTATTTCCCAACCCGGAGCTGGCAACCCCAGGTCCACCAGACCTTTGGGGACAAAACCTGATTTGGTGCCTAGCTTGAAATGCTGAAAACCGAGACCTCCCCTACCCCCACCCCCAAGCAGCAGGCTGCACACAGGGAGCTGCCTGCCCGGGCTGGCCACCGCCTGAATTGCTGCACTGCTGTGAGGAGGGATCTGCAAACATTCTCCCGTTATCCACCACACTATGGTGCCGCTGGTGAACCACAAACCTAGGATGGCATTACCCCGCAGCAGCACACAAGGACTCAGGGACAGGTCGGACTGTGTGTCCCTGGGGCCCCACCCAGGTGGGAGAGGAGGGGCAGAGGTGCTGAGTAAGCAGGTAGGGTGGCCAAGGGAATTTGGGGGGGGGACCTGGGCCCATTTAAGAGAGGGACTGTGAAGGAAGGGGATAGTTGAAGCTTTTCATGGCCTGGAAGCAATGTTCCCTCTAAGCTGTGGAGCCCTGTGAGCAAAAAGTCTACTTTGTGAGCGACTGGCGTTCAAGTGGTGAGCAGGCGATTTGGCTGCTGCATAAATTAGTTTGCTCTGGAGCCATCCTTCTGTGAGCCGGAGGCTAAAAAACTGTGAGCTAGCCCACATTAACTCAACTTAGAGGGAACACTGCCTGGAAGTCAATAACATTTGCTGCAGATCAAGCAGCAAAGAACTGCAAGGGGGACCAGACGAAAGGTGGGCACCCCTCCAAAGGCCTAAAGAAAGGGGGGAGGACTAGGGAAGGCCCCCGCTGAGGCAACAAATGGGAGTGTGAGAAAGCTTCAGGCAGGCCTAGGAACTAGGGTACCCTGAGCCAAAGAGCTCATAGAGGCTGTGTGACCAAAAAGGCACTGCAAGGAATGTAGAATTTCACCCTGATCTCAACGCCCTGGTGAGTAAGACCGGCTGCAGAGAGTAGCAGCGAGACAAACTGGATGGGAGATGGAGAGTAGAGACAGCACACCGCTGTTATGCAACCGTCACCTTTCCAGGTTGGCACACTGGAGAACAATTTGGGTGGAGAGGGTGTTGCACTCGACTTCTCAAATGGATGTGCCACAGATGTGGTTTGCCGAGTGCACTGGCTCCCCCTGCTGGTCGCAGAGCAACCATTCCAATAAAACTACAACACTCAATCACCTGCAACTTCAAATTGGCTTGAAATCAGTTTAATTGCCACATATGATTTCCCTACAACAAAGCAAACCCCCCCCCCAAAAAAACCCACCCTTGGAAATGGTAGCTGTTACCTTCCCACCGAAGTGATACCTCTTTATCTACTTGCAATTTCTTGCTTTCGAACTGCTAGGTTGGCAGGAGCTGGAACTAGAGATGGGAGCTCATTCCGTCATGCGGCAACCCGGGTCTCGAACTGCTGAACGACTGACCTTCCACAGCCTGCAGTCCAGCGTCTTAACCCCTTGAGCCACCGCCGCTCCATGTTAAGATTTAATCCGGCTTTAAAAGTGCAGTGAATGTGTGCCTATTACAGTCCTGCCCAAGTCAGAAATCAGTTGAGCATCTCCCCCCACCCCCGGCAAACCTGGTGGAGCTTCCCTCTCGTACCCGTCATGACAGCGGGCAAATGGTGTGGAGGGATGGCACTGGACAAGACAGCCAGTATTTCCCCACTGCTCTGGTCTGTATCAATTTGGTGGGCTCTGCCTCGCAGTGTGACAGAACCATGGGTGTCCCCGTGCACTTCACGGCCTCTCACAGTGGGGTGTGATCGTGCCTCTCTACGCAAAGGGGCGTGGCTGGTGCCCCAAAGAGGCTCTGAGGGCTGCGCAGCCAGAACCAGGATCAATGAGCTGCGCTGCGGCCAGTGCCAGGTTTTTGAGAGACCTTGGGCAGCCAGTGCCCGGGGACCCTCTTCTGCCCTCCCCTCCCAACCTGTTCCCTGTGCTCCCACCCGACTGGGAAGCCTTTCTCTTCTCCCCACCCCGGGGCAGGCAGCTGCTGTGGCCACCAGGAGTGCTGACCCGGGGTACCACCTGCAGGCATTCCCCTTCAGGACTGGGAAGCCAGGAGGACGGAGAGTTTGCAAGCAAGTGGGCACGGAAAGGTATCTGGACAACCGGCAGGGGAAGTGGGGGGTGGTCTGTGGCCCTGGGCCCTCCCAGAAGCCTCAGGGAATGCAGACTCAGACCTCAAAGCCGCCTCTGGAGAACAGAACACAGGCCCAGCCGGGCCACAGTCCTCCTGCCAAATGTGCAGGGACCCAGCAGGGGAGCCTCAGCTCTCTACTGACTTCCTCATTTAGACTGACTGGCAGCACTAACTCCAGGGCTGCGACGGGGAACACCGCATTCTGAGGTTCAGCTGGCTGCCTCCCGACAGTACCCTCTTAGGACTGCAGTTTGTAGCACCACTGATCAGCCTCAGCCCTTCTTTGGAAAGCAAGGTGGGCCCACAGCAATCCAGGCTGTTGACATCTCCCAGCTAGACTACTGTAACACAATACATGCAGGACTGCCCTTGGAAGCAGTTCTGAAATTTTAAGTGTTAACTGCACCTCTCACTTTTGCTAGATGGGCTGCCTCCTCCTTTCTGGACACAATTCAAGGAGGCATAGCTGACTTTTAACTTTGTTTCTGGAACTCTTTCCTTGTCTTTCTCAGCACCAGCAGAAAACATGCCTACCAAGATCAAGTTAACTGTGATCTTACCTCCCCCCAACACCATTGGCTTGGTATTGTTTTGTTTTGTTTTAAACTTCGGTCAGTTTTGGTGGGTGCAAAAAACATTCCTTGTCTTATCATGGGGCTCTCATCTTGCTCTGGTCTGGCTTCCCCTCCCTTGGATGTGGAAAAGCCCTCTTTGCTATTCGAGGTCCTTTCTGCACTTGGATCTCATCCCTGGTTTCAACTCACGACATAATACCTTGCACTTATCCCTGGCTATAACAGCATGCAGTGCTCAAGTGCTATAACAGCTGCGGTGGCTCAAGTGGTTAAGACGCTGAACTGCAGGCTGTGGAAGGTCAGTAGTTCAGCAGTTCGAGACCCGAGTGTGCCGCATGACGGAGCGAGCGCCCGTCTCTAGTTCCAGCTCCTGCTCACCTAGCAGTTCGAAAGCAAGAAATTGCAAGTAGATAAATAGGTACCCCTTCGGTGGGAACAGCGTTCCGTGTGCCTTGGTGTTTAGTCATGCCAGCCACATGACCACGGAAACGTCTTCGGACAGCGCTGGCTCTTCAGCTTGGAAACGGAGATGAGCACCGCAACCCTAGAGTTGGATTCGACTGGCTTTCGAGCAAGGGAACCTTTACCTTTTATAACAGCATCCATTTATCCCGGGACAAGTGTGGGGCAAAGCTGGCTGATCTCAATGTAAAGTGGAAACTAAAAACACCCCCAAGATAATTACAGGGGTGAACTTAAGGATTGTGTAGAGTGTAAAAATAACCAATGACAGGGGTGAACTGGCGTGTGGTGTAGAATGTAAGTCCAGGGACAGGGTTGAACCAGGACTTAAGGTCTAGTGCGGAATCACCCCTATAGGGAAGCAAGAACTCTCAGACTCTGAAGACCGGCTGCCAGTCAGGGCAGACAAAACTGTCCTCGACAGACCTCCGCAGAGGTCAAAACATGCAGGAGACACAGACACACAGAGAATCAGGCACACAAGACTGTTCTGCAAAGAACGGTGTGGTTTAATTGCACCCCACAGGCCCACCCCCCTCTTCTTGCTGGGAACGGTGAACGTGTCGGCCTCCTGCCCCACTGCACTGTGATCCTCAGTCAGCAGGATCTGGGGCAAGCTCAACACAAGGAAGCCCGAGAGCCCGTGTTTGCTTCCCCTCCACCAGGCCCGGCAGATACTCTGGTCCTCAGAGCTGTACTCGGAGTGCCTTGAACATAACAATTCCTTCACAGGGCAGAAGTAGCAGAGGAGAAATGCAAAGAGAAAGTCAGCCGCTGAAGAGGTGGAGGATGCTGAGCCATCAGGACAACATCTGTGACGTTCCGGCCTTTGAGGCGGGGAAACCGAAGCACACGGAGGCCCCTCCTCCTGCCCAGGAAGACAGACGGGGGCACCTGTCGGGCTCAAAGGCTAAGGCAAGACCACGGCTAAAAGAACTTGACACCCCGCCCATCGTCCAGCGTGATGATCTCAGCCTTGTGTTCCTGCTGCAGAGCTTGCAGGGCGCGGAGGAGCAGGGATTCTTCCAGACCATGGAACTCTGGGGAGAGGACAAGACAGCTGGTCAGGAGAAAGGACCCCCCCAAAGATGGCAAATGAATGGGGACAGGAGACCACACGGGAGGCAAGCAAGGAGGAGGCCGTGCTGCCACTCAGCCGCGCAGCAGGGGAGAATACGGCCACACATTCCAAAATTCTGCAGTCGCCTTGTGCACACAGGGGGTGTGATTAAAGATGTGAAGGCCCTGAAAAATACCGGAAAAATTCGGGGGGGAAACTCCCCCCCCCCGTTTTTTTCCTGAAGCCTTTTTGTTTTTTTCCGAAAAATTGGAAAAATTGAAAAAAGAAAAGAAAAAAAATTGATTATGGAACGTTTTATTTTAACATGATGAATAAAACATTTTAAGACAAGGTGTTCAAATATTTTCCAAATCATTTCTAAAAAATATATATGGTATCAGATTGATCTAATTTCTGTGCACTGAGGACAAGCAAGTCCTAGGTTACAAACTGAACACTCCAATGCAAGAACAAGATGCATTTCTTCCTTTAGGAGGTGCTATTGTCAGAAGAAAATTAAAAGGTTTCAGTTTTGTTTTTGCATGTGGGTGGGTATTCTGTTTGTAATAATTGTTTGGATACACTATATTTTCAATAGGCTAGTTGTTATAATTTCATGCCAAGTAAAAAAGTCCATAGTCATATTTTATGTTCCTAAAGTAACAGAATGACTTTCAATCTAGAAAAGACAAAAGAAATGCTAATGTAGCATTTTTTTCAATTTTTCCGAAAATTTCAGTTTCCCCCCGGAAAAAAATGGGGAAAAAAGGGTTTTTTTCCGAGCTTCAAAATTTCCGGAAATTTTACATCTCTAGGTGTGATACACCCTGAGGATCTCAGCCTCTGGCCCTTAAGGCCAGCCGAGACAGGCCTGCAAACATGTGGGCAGGGAACAAAGAACCCAGAAGGGTTTCAAGAGGCCAAAGGATGACAAATGAATACAAGTATAAATCTGCATAGCTGAACAAGGCCAGAGCAGGTCGCGGTCTCTTAGCACGGGCTTTTGGGCAACACCGGCACGGAGTGTCTGGCTGTGTGCCCGTGCAGACTGCTCTCCTGTCGCTCTTTGCCATTACAACAGCACGGCCGGAAAGGAAGACGGTCCCAACACAAGTCTTCTCGACAGTGCAGAGGCTCAGCAAGGCTCCCCTTTGCCCTGCCAAGTTACACGTCTGGCTCGAGGTGGCTGCCAGCGCTTCCACTCTGAGTGGGAAAGATCTGGCCTCCTGATTTCCCCTAGATATTGGTCTTCACTGAGGTTTCCTCAATCACTCTTCTGTAGTGAAAGCTGCCCAAGAGCAAGTGAGGTCAAAGAAAAGCCATACTCAACACTAGACAAGAGTAGGAGTCCAGTAGCACCTTAAAGACTAATAAGATGTGGTACTCAACACGGTATATTGCACTTTGGAGAAGGCAAGGAACCTACATCTCTCAGCTGCAGGAGACAACTAGAGAGGCAAAGCTCCAATCTGTGCAAAAGGGGGGGGGGGTATTTACTCCGGAAGGTCTCTAATCAGTTAAAAAGTCCAAAACATTTCCAGAGCACTTTGTTCTTAATCAGGCTCCAAGACTGAGGCCTAGCAATGGAGGAGGTTCTAGAGGTGAGCCCCGGACTGTGGCCACGTTTCTCATGGGAGGATCTCGGGCCATCTCCCAGCCAGGCACAGACCGAGCACAGCCCCGCTTCACTTTCAGATTCCTGCATGTGATTCATTTTGTGCTTTGGAGAGGGCTCGGGGCACAATTTGAACTCTAGATCTAAGGCCACAGGGCTCTCCTGCAAAGCATTAGAAGAAGAGGTGTTGGGAAGAAAGACAATTCAAACAGGCCTGGATTGAGAAGTTGCTTTCTTGAATCTGAAAGGCAGAAGAAGCAACAGGCAACCTTAGAAATGCCTGAACCAAAAGCCTTACTGCTGTCGCTTTACCCAGTGACTTGCTGAGTCTTATTTAAGAATTTAAACATACTTAAATACTAGAGAACATGGACTGAAGAGTTTAGAATGAAGCTGTTCATGGGAGTCAAAATGAGCGCAGCAACTTGCTGGAGAAAAGCAGGGCCGTCCCTTTTCTTGGACTGCCCAAGATTCTCCGGGCCATTGCCTTGGTGTCAAATAAAGTCACTAGATGAACCATATGAGGTTACAAGCTCACAAGCATACTGGAAAATTGATATCACTCATCAGGCTCTCGAACAGGGGCCCTCAACGTCTTCTACCCTGTGGGCAGCTCTGCCATTGTGACATGGGGTGGGCGGGCACAGGCACAAAATGCCCGCAGGAGGCAGAGCCAGCCACAAAACGTAAGACTATGCGGAACACTTATAGGTTCAGGTTCAGTTTTTATTGCCTTCAGCCAAAGGCCATCACAATGACAGAATAAGATATAAACTACTAAAACCAGAAACATAAAAACCTAATTTAATACACAATAAAACATCTTAAATAGTAGGAGCTGCGGTGGCTCAAGGGGTGAAGATGCTGAACTGCAGGCTATGGAAGGTCAGTAGTTCAGCAGTTCGAGACCCGAGTGTCCCGCATGACGGAGTGAGCTCCCGTCTCTAGTTCCAGCTCCTGCCAACCCAGCAGTTCGAAAGCAAGAAATTGCAAGTAGGTAAATAGGTACCGCTTCGGTGGGAAGGGAACAGCGTTCCGTGCGCCTTGGTGTTTAGTTATGCCGGCCACATGACCACGGAAACGTCTTCGGACAGCGCTGGCTCTTCGGCTTTGAAACGGAGATGAGCACCGCAACCCTAGAGTCGGATTCGACTGGCTTTCGAGCAAGGGAACCTTTACCTTTACCTAAAACATCTTAATAGTTCCAACTCTTCCATCCTGGTCTCTGTTAGTAATCGAGCTATGGTGCTGCTACTATTTTCTTTCGAATTTTCTCTGCAGCAAGGCCAAAGGGGGTCACCTTGTGTGAGATCTCGGCCTCTACGTCTGCTAGTAAGACTAGACTCTTTTCTGTTTCTGTTCTAGTGCCTAGGGTGGCCAAAACTGGGCCTAGAAATGTCTTCCTAGGGGATCGATAGAGTGGGCAAAATAACAGGTAGTGGCACAGGTCCTCTGGCACTGAGCCTCCACGTGGGCAGAGATGCTGGGCAGCAGGCGTGTTGGTATAGCGGCCTTCAAGCATTGCTGACTGCATTGACTGGAAGTGGATTGAAGTTAGTGCAGAGCGTAATTTGCTATATCAGATCTTGATTAAATATTGAGCCCTTTGATGGTCTGGTTTGATTAGTTTGTACCAGGGTGAGGATTTATTCTCTTGGATGACTTGCCAGTCTTGGGCGTGACACTTATAATAGCTCTTCAATATTTCAGGCTCTGTTTACCAGGACCAGGGCATTTTCGGTGGCGGCTCCTACCTGGTGGAAGGAGCTCCCGGAGGAGATCCGGGCCCTGCGGGACCTTTCTCAGTTCCGCAGGGCCTGCAAGACGGAGCTCTTCCGCCTGGCCTTTGAGTAGGGGCCGCCGCCACGACTATTCCACCATTGCCTTCTATGCACCGTCGTACTATCACCACGACTGTCTGGATCCCACTGGGGGGTGAGGCACCCCTGGCATAAAGTGGATGATAGATTTCAGGAAGCCACCGTTGGGTTTAAGATCTACCCATCTTTGTTTAAATTTGTATTGTAAATTTGTTATTGTATTTTACTGTTTTATACTTGCATTTTTATTGTTATAATCTTGGCACATTGTGCCCTTGTCAGCCGCCCTGAGCCTTCGGGGTAGGGCGGGATATAAATCCAAGGATAGATAAATAAATAAATAAATAAATAAAAGATTATAAGATTATGCATTGGAGAGAGCAGGTAGAGAAAGAGGTACTTTTCTCCCTTTCTCACAATACAAGAACTCATGGGCACTCCATGAAATTGCTGAGCGGTCGGGTTAGAACGGATAAAAGGAAGTACTTCTTCACCCAAAGAGTGATTAACACTTGGAATTCACTGCCACAGGAAGTGGTGGCAGCTACAAGCATGGACGGCTTCAAAAGGGAATTAGATAAGCATATGGAGCAGAGGTCCATCAGTGGCTATTAGCCACAAGGTATAGATAGGGACTCTGGGGCAAGTGATGCTCTGTCATCTTGGTGCTTGGGGGGGTCAACAGTGGGAGGGCTTCTAATGTCCTGGCCCCACTGGTGGACCTCCTGATGGCACTGGTATTTCTGGCCACTGTGTGATACAGAGTGTTGGACTGGATAGGCCTTTGGCCAGATCCAACATTGGCATCTCTTATGTTCTTATGTTCTTAAAGAATCAGCATATTTTAAAAAAACCTGGCATACACACAGGATACCTTCAGTCAACGCAGTGAAGAGCCCCTTGTGTTGTGGTGGCACCCGCTGCCGAAACAACTCAAAAAACCCCAGCACAGCCAATTACGTTTGCAGTGACCAACAGGAAGCGCTGCTGGGCAAAAGCCCCATGTGGCCTTGCATTTTGTAAAAACACTTGGCGTCAGTGGGTGCCAAGAGACACGTAGGCACCATGCCTGGAGCCCTAGAACAATGCCCCACAATAGTAACCATCATTATGTGTCTATTTCAATTATATAATCCTATTTCCATATTTTTCTAACATTATGTGGTTTTCTTTTTCTCAATGTTATATTTATGTAGTTTTATTCCTTTAAAAAAATAAAATCGATTTTCTTAACAAAAAAAACTCAGAAAACCTTGCAACAGGTAACATATGAGAATGGCAGGAACATTTCCCTAAGCAAAATCAGGCAGAATTGGCTGGAAAAGAGGACACCCGGCTCCATGCGGTACTACCTTCATTCTCTGTGTCATCGCCATTGGACAACTCATAGAGCGTGAAAACGGAGTTGGTCAGCCCGTTCTTTGAGACCTAGTAGCAAGGGAGGGAAAGGAAAGATAAGGCTCTGCTCGGAGCTGGGTGTTGTTGTTTTTTAATGCAGAGAGCACAGAGCATTCCCTGCACACAGACCTACCCACCTCCTCTTAAGGAAATTCTGCTCATAAAGTTAAAAAGTCAGCAAGATTCCAAGGGAGCAAGAGCCTGCTGGGTTGTTGTGCCCTGGCCTTGGGGGTTTGCATGGCTGCACCACACAACCAAGGAACTTGGCAGCCACATCCCCACCAACATCCATTCCCTCTGAAAAACGACATCGGCTTTCTTGCCCTTAAGACAGAAGCCTGTGCTCAATACCTGAGGAAGGGAGTCTCACAAACCACTTACGGGCAGTGTTCCCTCTAAGCTGAGTCAGTGTGAGCTAGCTCACAGTATTTTAGCCTCCGGCTCACACATTATTGTCTTAGCTCAGGAAGGATGGCTCCAGAGCAAACTGATTTATGCAGTAGCCAAATCACTTGCTCACAACTTTCATGCCAGTGGCTCACAAAGTAGAATTGTTGCTCACAAGACTCCACAGCTTAGAGGGAGCATTGCTTACGGGTTCTGCCACACAAGCCAAGACAGGGAATTTGTTTGCTTGCTTTGCTTATTCCCTGCTTCTCTTCTCCAATGGGGGACCAATAGTGGCTTACATGGTTCGCCTCTCCTCCACTTTACCCTCCCAACAACTCTGTAGGGTGTCTGTGGCTGAGGCAGGGCAACTGGCCCCAGGTCACCCAGCAAGCTGCCACGGCAGGGGTGTGTGTGTGTGTGTGTCTGAACCTGGGTCTCCTCTGACACTCCAAACGCGACGTCTGCACACAGCCCGAGCTCCGCACTCACCCACTGGTAGATGAGCTTGCTCCACTCTTCCAGCCGTCGCCACAAGACCAAGAAACTGGACTTATTCTTGTCTAGCCACTCGAGATTCCCTGCAATTCAGCAGAGACTGCATTTGGCAGCAGAATTGTCGAGACACACGTCTCTCTCTCTCTCTCTCTCTCTCTCTCTCTCTCTCTCTCACTCACTCTCTCTCTCTCACACACACACACACACACACACACACACACACATACATAATGTCTATGGCCCTCCAGGAGGGGTGGTTTTCCTGACAGTTATGTGGACTACATGGCGTGTGCACTGCACTAGAGAGCAGATTTTCAAACAAAAGTGGAGGAAAACCGAATTGTACTGGGAAAACTCGCCTGTTGAGTACCTTTCATTTCAGAAATCTCCTTTTAGTCGAGAAAGCAAGAATACTTTGTGCTGATAGAACACCTCTAGACAGGGCTATTTTTGGGCAGGAACACACAGGAACGGAGTTCCGGCTGGCTTCCAAGTTGGCCACACCCAGCAGGAACTCATTAGCATAATAGGCCACACCCAACAGCAGAAACTCATTAGGGGTGTGTGGCCTAACATGCAAAGGGGTTCCTGCTACAAAAAAAGCCCTGGGTTTTGACAACAAACAAGGTAAACAGAATAAGAAGCAAAAGGTGGGTGTGGCTGGATGACCACACTTCTGGTAACAGGGGGGTGTAGCCTAATATGTTAAAATGCTGTGCTGTCAGGGGTGTGCCCTAATAGGCTAATAAGTTCCTGCTGTTGGGTGTGGCCTGTTATGCAAATGAGTTCCTGCTGGGCTTTTTCTACAAAAAGAGCCCTGCGTCTAGACAACTGGATCACTCCCTTGAGCGTAACATTTGGTAAGCAGGGTTCTGTCATCCCCCGACTGGAGCCGAACCAGCCCCACACCGGTGCCCTTCCGCCTCCTCTCCCACACTGTGATTTAGACTCCCGGTGCATGACAGGAGGCCTTCACACGCCCACGCCCCATCATGCTGCCACTCCAAAGCCTGTCCCGTGTGAGCAGGAGCCACTGGTTGCTTCCTTTATTCCCACTGATGGGAAACAGAACCCAGAAAAAGCACCTGCTATCCGGCCTCTGCTGTGATCCCAAGGAAGAACTGGTCTGAATGGTGGACACCAAGATGTTTCACGGCCAGCGCGGGCCAGAACTCACCTTTTTTCCTGAGCTCCTCCAGCACCACAAGGATGGATTCCAAAGGCAGCTTTCCTGTTTCGCAGTTAAGGGAACAGCTACAGGACACAGAGCAACGAATAAAAAAGGAGTACAGAGAAGCGTAGAAATTAAAACAAAGCGGGATGAACTGGTCAGCATTTGCAGCTTCTAGTCTCAGAATTCAGGGCTTCAGTGCAGCATGCTTATCCATCCCCACAAAGATGAGCACCTCTTATTCCTGACTAGAAATAATGCCCGTTGCGGAAATAAATACAACGAGATCTAGAAAGAGGCTCTGGGAGAGTGCTCTGGCTTTGGGCAAACAGTGTCAGTTTCCTGTGGCGACCTCAGCAGGGTTTAATGACAGAGTCCACTGTTTTCTCCAGAGGGACTGATCTCTGCTACCTGAAGAGCATTTGTATGTTTGAGTTATCTGTAGCCCTCACCTGGAGAGTGGTAACCATTGTTACCCATTCTCCTCTCCCCTATGAGGTCTGTTATGCAACTGAAAATCCCAAATGGCTTGCCGGGGGAGGGGGGGGAGTTTGAGGTGTGGAATGGACTGAAGTCCAATCAGCTTCCATATGCAAAAGACCAGGTTGTCGCAGCAGTTGTGGTGTGGGCGGGACCCGGGCTTTGCCTTCTGATTGGTGGCGATATATGCTGAGGAGCAGTGCCATCAGCCATACACTAAGGGAGTGCATTTTAGAATTAGAACTTTGGCACCCACTATTCAATTATACATAAGGAGAGATGCAGCAGACCCTGAAAGCTTCCTAGCAAACCCATCATGCGGGCTCCGTTCAGGAAAAAAAAAAAACAACGTTCACCTGGAAGGGGTGACAAGGAACTCTCCGCTCTGGCCACCGCCCGATCATCTTCTAGGCTTCTACACCCTGTTGTTGGCCCTCCAGAGTAACTGCTTGGCCACGGTGCCAAGGCTCGTTTGATCCTGTCGAATCTTGGAAGCTAAGCAGAGTTGTCCCTGGTTGGTACTTGGATGGGAGACCACCAAGAAAGCCCAGAGTTGCTAACCAGGGGCAATCAATGACAAACCACCTGTCATGATCCTAGGCCTAGAGTAGTGCGGCCTACAGAAGCCTGTACTAGAGTCGCTATCAGGGCCTACATTTACCAGGTCACCCTTTGGACCCTGTGATTGGCTAAGAGGGGATTTGGAGGGGAAACAGTAGAGGGTGTTGCCAGCAGTGTTCCCTCTAAGCTGAGTGAGTGTGAGCTAGCTCACAGTTTTTTAGCCTCCGGCTCACACATTTTTGTCTTAGCTCAGGAAGGAGGGCTCCAGAGCAAACTGATTTATGCAGTAGCCAAATTGTTCGCTCACACCTTTAATGCCAGTAGCTCACAAAGTAGACGTTTTGCTCACAAGACTCCACAGCTTAGAGGGAACATTGGTTGCCAGTGTAGAAGTGATAAAGGGCCTTGTCAAGCTCAGGCTAACTTTCGATTTCTTTAAGTTCTGTTTTTCTTTACCTTCGCTTGTCATTTTGAAGTCCTGAGGGGGGGTGTATATTGTTGGAGTGCATGGGAGTAGAGGCCCTAACTTTCCTGAAGAAGCACCCCAAGTTGGTTCCCGTGGGACTGACCTTGGAGTATCTCTCTGCCAGCCTAGTTTAGATAGGGCACCCTATATCTGTCTGTGTTGCCACAGTAACGCTAGGGGTAGGTGTGACGTGGATGAATGTGGGATTTTATGCTTTTATCTATATCTTGTAAAAGTAAAGTAAAGGTTCCCTTGCTCGAAAGCCAGTCAAATCCGACTCTAGGGTTGCGGTGCTCATCTCAGTTTCACAGCCCTTGAGCGGTGGCACAGGCAATACAACGCCTGCTGATAACATCTGTAGCGAACAGCCATAACGGCTGTTCGAATCCCCACCGCGGCCGGGTTGAGCCCCCGGCCCTCGTCCCAGCTCCCGCCAACCCAGCGGCTCTAATAACAACAGAGGAATGGGTACCTGCCCTAGGTGGCAGGGGGCACCCTCCTCCTGGCTTACGCTGGGAAGGCGATCGGCAACAGTAAGGAAAAGGAGAATCGGCAGCGGCGAGAAAGCAATGGCGGCAGCGGAGAGCGACCCAGGAAAGGCAGCGGCTGGATCGAGCGGAGGCGGAGCCGGAGCAACGCGCTGACGTGGGATGCAGCGCGGCAGGAGCCGTCAGGACATTGGCCAAAGCTGCACCCAAAGACGCGCCGCTCCGGGGGAGAGAAAAACCGAGACAGCCTGCTCGAGCCCG